AATAAACATCTTTCCCTTTCTCCATCCTCTCCACTTTCTTCAATTACAACAGATTCATCTCTGTCTTCTGTCATAGATCCTTTACTTTTGTCTTCTTTATCCAGCTCTTCTCTCAATTTGTTCACATCTCCTTCCTCTTCCACCTGCTGTTCCGTTCTTTCATATTGCCCCATGTTTAATGTGAGAACACTTTCTGGTAAAATTTCTTCATCTTTGCTTTTTTCATTTCTTTGTGTTTCTCTTTGGACCTCATCTTGTCCTGCCATTTGTGTTTTTCTACTCTCATCTTGTCCTTCCCCTGCCTCGATTGTTTCATATTTTATTTCAATTTCCATCACCTGAAGCCTTTCTTGCACTCCCATCTCTGCTTTTTCATTCTGTTCCGCTTCTCTTTTCTCCTCCTCCTGTCTGACTTTGTCTGACTCTTTATTTTCCATACTGACATCTACTTTTTTGATTGCAGTTTCAAAGCCTCCATACATCCCAGATCCAAACTCCCCCTGTATCCTAGCTTCTTGTTTTTCTTCATAAGATTTTTCTTCTTTTTCTGCTTTTTTTCTATTATCCATCTTTTCTTTTTGCACAGGCTGTATTCTTGCACATTCTTCACCATCTTCTTCTCCTAACCTATCTTCTCTTCCTAATTCATATAAATATCTTATGTCCCTTTCATCTGCTCCAGCCAAGTCTTTTTTATAGCTCTTCTTCTTTGTTTCTAGTCTTTGACTTTTTTGTACTTCTTGCCACTCTCCTCTCATTTCTTCTCCCTTTGACCCTCTTTCTAAAACTCCCATACTTGTTTTTGTGATGCTTTCAATTACCATTGTTTCTTCTGTGGATCTTTCATTTTCTTCATAGCTTCCTTGTCCTGCTCCCCCTGCTTCCACTCCATCTGCTGTTTCTCCAGGTTCTATTTCTCGTGTGTCTATAATGTCAGAAAGCAAAACTTTGTCTTCTTCAAATGGTGTCTCCCCTGCTACTGGTTCAGTTTTTCCATTTGAGTCTCTCATCATGTCCTCTCGAGTCATCACCTTCTCAGTCACATCATGTTCCTCAGTGTGCCCTCTGAAGATACTCACTTCATTTGACTGTATAAGATCTTCATATTTTCTTGCATTTTTCCTTTCTTTTTTTATTTCACATTTAGATTCATCTTCCTCTCCGAAAGGATATTTATCCCCTGGTAATCTGACATCTGTTTCTTCCACTAATTCGATTTTTTTTTCTGTTCTTTGATCAACAGATTTGTGAGATTCATCCTCAGTTGTTTTGTCATCTTGATTTTTATTTTCTTGTTCATTAGTGAAGATATAAGTATCTTCAACTTCCACCCCCAGTTTTATTATGTCTTGTGTTATATCCCCCTTGTCTTGAGCATCATCAGCTTCTTCAAGGACTGCCTTTTCCGGATGTTGGTTAACCTGTTCTTTCTCTGTGCTTGTGACGTACACAGACATGCATTGCTCACTCATGCTTTCCATCTGGTTGGAAAGGAAGATCTCATGCCGCATCAAATTAACCACTCTTTCATCTGCAGTGTCCACATGTGACCAACATTTACTCTCTCTTTTGGTTTCTTCTCTTAAATAATTATCTTCTTCCTCCTTATCACTGTTTTTTTCTTCGCAAACTCTAGCTTCCGGGCTAATATTTGTGTCATCGTTTCCTGTATCTGGAGGCGCTGCCGTTAAATATCGCTGCACAGTTGATGTGACATAGCCCTTTGAGTTTGCATTTATAAGAAAGAAAGGAAGCGGCAATTTTATTTTACCATCATTTATAATTTCTTACGCTACTATAATGACTATAGATAGTAAGAGAACATATAGCTAACAAACTTAATAATAAACACCGAACCACATAAGTATACTGTATACCGCTACCTTTTTTTGTCACGCACGGAATCTGACCAGGAATGTTATGCGAAAATGCAAACATGGAATTCCGCTTTTCTACCTATGCACAGTGTATTTAATATTACATACAATACTTACACAGTAAAACTGTATTTTGCTTTGAAAATACTGCAAAACAGTTTTATTAACTTGTTAATCACCAAGTGACGGTTATCAGTTAAAGCCACGTTCAAATCACCAATAGAACAATGTACTGTTACCAGACTATTTATTTGCAATGAAACAATAAAACAATATTGCATATTATAGATGTTATTATAATATACCATTAATTCATGTACAATTATTAACATGTACTGTTTATCTTTGGGCGTCCTCAATAGACTTAAGGCTTTTTTACAGTAGGTTTTCGCGAAGCATCAATAATAAAAAATTATTAAATAGGCTATAATAAATAAATAAGCAAGTGCGCCGACTTACCAAAAATTCCCAGAACATCTGCCCAATACGTGACACAAAATTGGCCTGGGAGTCCATGCTTAGAGAAAAGTTCGATATCCTGTTGCGATCAAACAGTTCGTGTCTTCAGACCTGTCCAAGCAATAAACTGTTACCGT